GTAAAGTTCTGAGGTTAGGTAATGATGATAGAGTTACAAGATACGAGCTAGATGGTGTTGTGATTGCGAAGTCGGATTGCGAAAGGGATCTGGGAGTTATGATTAGTAAGAATTTAAAACAAAAGGATCAATGCATAAATGTTCGTAATAAGGCAAATCGGACACTTGGATTTATTAATCGCAGCGTTAGTAACAAGACACCTGGTGTGGTTCTCAAGCTATATCTTGCTCTAGTTAGGCCCCATTTAGATTATGCAGTTCAGTTTTGGTCGCCATATTATAGAATGGATATAAATTCACTTGAACGTGTCCAGCGTAGGATGACTAAGTTAATTCCCCAAATTAGAAATCTTTCATATGAAGAAAGATTAACAAAGCTTAAGTTGCATTCACTGGAAAGGCGAAGAGTTAGGGGTGACATGATAGAGGTTTACAAGTGGATGAATGGACATAACCGGGGGGATATTAATAGGGTATTAAAAGTATCAACACAGGACAGAACACGAAACAATGGATATAAATTGGATAAGTTTAGATTTAGGAAAGACTTGGGTAAATACTGGTTCAGTAACAGGGTTGTTGATTTGTGGAACCAATTGCCGCGTAACATTGTGGAGGTGGGGTCCCTCGATTGTTTCAAGCACGGGTTGGACAAGTATATGAGTGGGATTGGGTGGTTATAGAATAGGAGCTGCCTCGTATGGGCCAATAGGCCTTCTGCAGTTACCTTTGTTCTTATGTTCTTATGTATGCTATGCCCAAGATTACTATCCGAGTGCCGGCGGTGGGGTGGTTCAAATAGCCTCGGCTATCACCTCATTTGTCCGGTCGTGATGGTCAAGTGGATTAAGGCGTCTTGTACATACCAGTTGCGTTGCTTCTGGGAGTATGGGTTCGAGTCACTTCTGGGGTGTGAGTTTTCAGTTGCATATTGTCCTGGGGACCATTCAGGCTTGTTCGCATTTGTGTTCCTCACGTGTGCCCCAAAGAATGAGGTGATTTGGTAAAATGCTATGCCAAGATTACTATCCGAGTGCCGGCGGTGGGGTGGTTCAAATAGCCTCGGCTATCACCTCATTTTGTCCGGTCGTGATGGTCAAGTGGATTAAGGCGTCTTGTACATACCAGTTGCGTTGCTCCTGGGAGTATGGGTTCGAGTCACTTCTGGGGTGTGAGTTTTCAGTTGCATATTGTCCTGGGGACCATTCAGGCTTGTTCGCATTTGTGTTCCTCACGTGTGCCCCAAAGAATGAGGTGATTTGGTAAAATGCTATGCCCAAGATTACTATCGAGTGCCGGCGGTGGGGTGGTTCAAATAGCCTCGGCTATCACCTCATTTTGTCCGGTCGTGATGGTCAAGTGGATTAAGGCGTCTTGTACATACCAGTTGCGTTGCTTCTGGGAGTATGGGTTCGAGTCACTTCTGGGGTGTGAGTTTTCAGTTGCATATTGTCCTGGGGACCATTCAGGCTTGTTCGCATATATATATATATATATATATATATATATATATATATATATATATATATATATATATATATATATATATATATATATATATATACCCGTGGAACTGTACATTCGAGACAGTGAGGAGGACAGTCAACCTCCGATTAATTCATTTTAATAATTTATTTTGAAAATTTTGCATGTCTTTAAAAGAAATATTGAGACATGATTGCAATCAATTTATTATTTGAGGACATGGCAGTAATACAAAATAACTGTATTGCAAAATTATGTTACAGATTAGGCCTAGGAAGGCTCTATACCATTTACACAACAGAATTGTAAAAAAAAAAAATAGACTTTGTCGTAAATATTTAAATAAATAAAATTAATAAATTAAATAATACCTTTATTGCAAAATGAAATAATATTTCTGCAATAGTAGAACTAATATAATAAGAGTACTACTATAGCCTAGTACTGGTTACGACATCAACGGTTGTCCATTCACTACCATAGCCTTAAAACATTGTCACTTTCATTCAAACGCGAGAGTTGGGTGCCCTGTGTTCAACCTAACTATTGTGACGTGTTCACACACATTATATATACATGTCATTACTTTTCCAGTATTCTATGAGTAACTCTGAGTGGTAACTGGTAAGGTAGAGTCGATAGTGCCCCGATCCTCGCCTCTGACTTACACTCTCCACTGTGTTCCACGAGACTTAATAGTCTGTCCTCATCAGGTCAGTAATGGACTACAGTTCCTAGCAAAGTTTATAATATACAAGATGTGTGTGTGTGTGTACACACCTAGTTGTATTCACCTAGTTGTGTTTGCGGGGGTTGAGCTCTGGCTCTTTGGTCCCGCCTCTCAACCGTCAATCAACAGGTGTACAGATTCCTGAGCCTACTGGGCTCTATCATATCTACACTTGAAACTGTGTATGGAGTCAGCTTCCACCACATCACTTCCTAATGCATTCCATTTGTCAACCACTCTGACACTAAAAAAGTTCTTTCTAATATCTCTGTGGCTCATTTGGGCACTCAGTTTCCACCTGTGTCCCCTAGTGCGTGTGCCCCTTGTGTTAAATAGCCTGTCTTTATCTACCCTATCAATTCCCTTGAGAATCTTGAATGTGGTGATCATGTCTCCCCTAACTCTTCTGTCTTCCAGCGAAGTGAGGTTTAATTCCCGTAGTCTCTCCTCGTAGCTCATACCTCTCAGATCGGGTACTAGTCTGGTGGCAAACCTTTGAACCTTTTCCAGTTTAGTCTTATCCTTGACTAGATATGGACTCCATGCTGGGGCTGCATACTCCAGGATTGGCCTGACATATGTGGTATACAAAGTTCTGAATGATTCCTTACACAAGTTTCTGAATACCGTTCTTATGTTGGCCAGCCTGGCATATGCCGCTGATGTTATCTTCTTGATATGGGCTGCAGGGGACAGGTCTGGCGTGATATCAACCCCCAAGACTTTTTCTTTCTCTTACTCTTGAAGAATTTCATCTCCCAGATGATACCTTGTATCTGACCTCCTGCTCCCTACACCAATCTTCATTACATTACATTTGCTTGGGTTAGACTCTAACAACCATTTGTTCGATCATTCCTTCAGCTTGTCTAGGTCTTCTTGAAGCCTCAAGCAGTCCTCCTCTATCTTAATCCTTCTCATAATTTTGACATCGTCAGCAAACATTGAGAGAAATGAATCTATACCCTCCGGGAGATCATTTACATATATCAGAAACAAGATAGGACCGAGTACAGAGCCCTGTGGGACTCCTCTGGTGACTTCACGCCAATCTGAGGTCACACCCCTCACCGTAACTCTGTTTCCTATTGCTTAGGTACTCCCTTATCCACTAGAGCACCTTGCCAGCTACACCTGCCTGTCTCTCCAGCTTATGTACCAGCCTCTTATGCGGTACTGTGTCAAAGGCTTTCCGACAATCCAAGAAAATGCAGTCCGCCCATCCTTCTCTTTCTTGGTTAATCTTTGTCACCTGGTCGTAGAAATCTATTAAGCCAGTCAGGCAAGATTTTCCCTCCCTGAACCCATGTTGGCGATTTGTCACGAAGTCCCTTCTCTCCAGATGTGCTACCAGGTTTTTTCTCACGATTTTCTCCATCACCTTGCATGGTATACAAGTCAAGGACACTGGCCTGTAGTTCAGTGCCTCTTGCCTGTCGCCCTTTTTGTATTTTGGGACCACATTCGCCGTCTTCCATATTTCTGGTAGGTCTCCAATGACCTACCAGAAATATGGAGAGTATGGAGTACTTTGGAGTAGAGTACTTTGCTTGCCACTATGGAGAGTGGCAAGCAAAGTGCTCCTGCACACTCTTTCAGTACCCATGGGAAGATCCCATCTGGATCAACAGCCTTTCTAACATCCAGATCCAGCAGGTGTCTCTTGACCTCCTCTCTCGTAATTTCGAACTCTTCCAAGGCCGCCTGGTTTACTTCCCTTTCTCCTTTCTTCCCTGTGTGTGTGTGTGTGTGTGTGTGTGTGTGTGTGTGTGTGTGTGTGTGTGTGTGTGTGTGTGTGTGTGTGTGTGTGTGTGTGTGTGTTAGAGGCAGAGTATGTATGTCATTTAGAGGAAGGTATGTGTGTGTGTGTGGGTGTCGGATGTGTTGAGGCGTGGCCCGGGTGCGCGTGGGCGGCTCGTGGGCGGCTTGTGGGCGGGAGGTGCGCGTGGGCGGAGTGTGGGAGGGAGGTGGTGATGGAGGCAGTTGGAGGCTCACCTCCGCTCCGGGAAACACCCTGTTCTCTCACATTGTCTGGGTGGTAAAGGGTAGAAGTCAGCCCTCTCTCTCAGCCTCTCTCTCTCTCTCTCTCTCTCTCTCTCTCTCTCTCTCTCTCTCTCTCTCTCCTCTCTCTCTCTCTCTCTCTCTCTCTCTCTCTCTCTCTTTCTAGGCCAGGTAACATCAGCTAGGCCAGGTAACACCAGCTAGGCCAGGTAACATCAGCTAGGCCAGGTAACACCAGCTAGGCCAGGTAACACCAGCTAGGCCAGGTAACATCAGCTAGGCCAGGTAACACCAGCTAGGCCAGGTAACACCAGCTAGGCCAGGTAACATCAGCTAGGCCAGGTAACACCAGCTAGGCCAGGTAACACCAGCTAGGCCAGGTAACATCAGCTAGGTCAGGTAACACCAGCTAGGTCAGGTAACATCAGCTAGGTCAGGTAACATCAGCTAGGCCAGGTAACACCAGCTAGGCCAGGTAACACCAGCTAGGTCAGGTAACATCAGCTAGGTCAGGTAACATCAGCTAGGCCACGTAACACCAGCTAGGCCAGGTAACACCAGCTAGGCCAGGTAACACCAGCTAGGCCAGGTAACACCAGCTAGGCCAGGTAACACCAGCTAGGCCAGGTAACACCAGCTAGGCCAGGTAACACCAGCTAGGCCAGGTAATACCAGCTAGGCCATGTAACACCAGCTAGGCCAGGTAACACCAGCTAGGCCAGGTAACACCAGCTGCGGCACATCGATATTGAAGTAGACAACTCAGTAGCTCCCTCTGGTGGAGTCGAGGCTGGACCAGCCGCCCGCCCTCACCACCCAACCCGCCCAGCCGCCCGCCCTCACCGCCCAACCCCCAACCCGCCCAGCCGCCCGCCCTCACCGCCCAGCCGCCCGCCCTCACCACCCAACCCGCCCAGCCGCCCGCCCTCACCGCCCAACCCGCCCAGCCGCCCGCCCTCACCACCCAACCCGCCCAGCCGCCCGCCCTCACCACCCAACCCGACCAGCCGCCCGTCCTCCCTCACCACCCAACCCGCCCAGCCGCCCGCCCTCACCACCCAACCCGCCCAGCCGCCCGTCCCTCACCGCCCAACCCGCCCAGCCGCCCGCCCTCACCACCCAACCCGACCAGCCGCCCGCCCTCACCACCCAACCCGACCAGCCGCCCGCCCTCACCACCCAACCCGACCAGCCGCCCGCCCTCACCGCCCAACCCGCCAAGCCGCCCGCCTTCACCACCCAAACCGCCCAGCCGCCCGCCCTCACCGCCCAGCCGCCCACCCTCACCACCCAACCCGCCCAGCCGCCCGCCCTCACCGCCCAACCCGCCCAGCCGCCCGCCCTCACCACCCAACCCGCCCAGCCGTCCGCCCTCACCACCCAACTCGACCAGCCGCCCGCCCTCACCACCCAACCCGCCCAGCCGCCCGCCCTCACCACCCACTCACCAAAGCTAGTGAGGAATGTAAAAACCAATGATGCCTGCAGAAGGTTGCTGGTTGACCTCGATATACTCCAGAAGTCCCCAACAAATGATTGCTAGAATTCAATCCCAACAAGTGTAAGGTAATGAAGAAGTTAAATGACAAAAGAGACCAAGAGGTGTCCGCACCATAAGGTAACGGCAGCATCACGAGTTGGAAGGAGACAAGGATTTGGAAGTGGTACATAATTCCAACACTGTCTCCAGAGGTACACATAAACAGAGTAACATCGGCAGCATACGGGACGCTGGGAAACATTGGAACGTCGTTTAGAAACCTAAACCCGGGCTCTCTCAAAGCGCTCTACAGCATCATTGTTAGACCAATACTGGGATATGCAGCACCAGCCTGGAACCCGCACCGTGTGAACCATAAACACAATTTCAAAAGTACAAAAGTTTGCGATACGATTATTGTTGCTAGAGCTAAGAGAGATAAGCGTAAGGATAGGCTAAGGGAACTAGACCTTACGAGCCTGAAGGAGAGAGGATACAGAGAGTGACATGATCGCAACATACAAGGTACTGAGGGGGAATTTAAAAGGTGAACAAGGACAGCATCTTCAAAGTGAGAGAAAGCAGGTGGAGAGGAAATAAGTGGACGCTGGCAACTAAAATTAATCGATGAAATGTAATGAAATTCTCACACCAGTAAAGCAGAATGCACTCAAGTAAGTTGTGGAAGCCACCTCCATCCACAACTTTAAGACCAGGTTCAACCAACAATTCGAACGTCAGAGTAATTCAATCATAACTCGACAGGCACAAGGTTCCCTACTGGGCGGGGCATGAAGACCTATAGCCCTCACTTCCTTTTGTCACGGATAGGTAAGTACCACTACCACCACCCTTACCACTACCACCACCCTCATCACCCCCACCACTACCCTCTCACCCCCACCACCACCCCCTCACCCCCACCACCACCCCCACCCTCCCCCCTCTCCCCCACACTTCCAGACGCCCACAATTAAGGTGGTCACACACGCCTCAACACTCTCACAATATGATACATTAACCACTTTCCCTCCAACCACCAACAATACTCTCACATTCTTATTTACGAAGGGACAAGGGAATACCTCACGGAGAGGAAACAGAGACACGGGGAGAGGAAGAAGAGAGGACATAGATACGATCTTGTCCTGGTTCGCAGAAACTAGTGACCTTCCCGACGCTGCAACCCACAACAGTTGCCTAAGTCCCGGGTACTTACGTTACTGATAGGTGAACAGGAACATCAGGTCAAAGGAAACGTACCCAATCGTTTCTGCCAAGACCGGAGATTGAGCCGAAGACGAAGACCACTGTCCAACAGTGGACCGAGGGCCACAGTGGACCGAGGGCCACAGTGGACCTGGGGCCACAGTGGACCTGGGACCACAGTGGACCTGGGGCCACAGTGGACCTGGGGCCACAGTGGACCTGGGGCCACAGTGGACCTGGGACCACAGTGGACCTGGGGCCACAGTGGACCTGGTGTCCACAGTGGACCTGGGGCCACAGTGGACCTGGGGCCACAGTGGACCTGGGGCCACAGTGGACCTGGGGCCACAGTGGACCTGGGGCCACAGTGGACCTGGGGCCACAGTGGACCTGGGGCCACAGTGGACCTGGGGCCACAGTGGACCTGGGGCCACAGTGGACCTGGTGTCACAGTGGACCTGGGGCCACAGTGGACCTGGGGCCACAGTGGACCTGGGGCCACAGTGGACCTGGGGCCACAGTGGACCTGGGGCCACAGTGGACCTGGGGCCACAGTGGACCTGGGGCCACAGTGGACCTGGGGCCACAGTGGACCTGGGGCCACAGTGGACCTGGGGCCACAGTGGACCTGGGGCCACAGTGGACCTTAGGGGGAGAAGCTGCATTGAGAAATTCGTATTTTTCACCCCTCACAATTTTCATTTTTTATTCGTTTGTTTGTAATACATTTTTGTTGTTTGCATCTTCCTCTTGTTCTTGTCGTGTTCTCGTGTCTATTGTTCATTATCTCTACCATTCTCTCACTCTCCTTATCATCCTTTATCACCCCTCTCCTCTCTCCTTCCACGTGTGAAAGCGTTATTATTCCTTAATTAATTATATCCTCTTGTTTAACGTTCTCACCACTGGCGCCATCTCTTCTCTCCACTCTCTCTCTCTCTCTCTCTCTCTCTCTCTCTCTCTCTCTCTCTCTCTCTCTCTCTCTCTCTCTCTCTCTCTCTCTCTCTCTCTCTCTCTCATGCTGTGTTAAGGATGCAGTTATCAAGTGAATGTTAATATATTGAAGTCAAGTGCAGCCAAAGGCAGCACTAGAAGAGCCAGCGGTCAGGGGGCAGGATGAGGGAAGGTGGATGTTAAGTTAAGGTGCTACAAGAAGGCATTATTCTGGGGTGTGTTCTGGCGCTCAGACGCCTCGGGTTGTGGCGTTAACTCATACATGGATGTATACGTTCTTACGTGTATTTATACATGGGTGTATTCATTATTAGAGGCATCTCTACATGGATTTCCCCATTCTTAGATGTATCTATATGGATATATCCATACTTTTGTGTATTTATAAATGGTCGTGTCTTTACATTGATCGCCAGCCAAACACACGAAGACATTACGACGTTGTTACACCTAACAAGTTGTAACAACGTTCTAACACGTCATAAAACTCTTATAATAAGATGCAACAACTTGCTAAGAAGTTGTAAGAAGGTAACAATAGGGTAGTATCGAGACTGAAATGTATCTTTCTGTATAAATACAATATTTTGATAAAGATCGCTTACAACAGTAAGTTACTAAGCTATGAGCATATATCAACAAAGACTTTAAAGTTATTAGGATTCACGAGATGGCTGTAGAAGCCTACGACTACCTGGCTGCTCTCATTCGCTATAGTAATGAAGAGATGAGAAATGCAGCCTAATGTATAAATCCCGTCAAACCAAATACTGTAAAAAAACGATATATTGGCATGAGACTTTAAGGGACGTCAGGTTAAATTGCCAATGACAAAAAATTTAAACAGCCCAGCCCTCTAAACAGCATGGAAGCAGCCCTTACAACTGAGCGTGGAGCACTCTGGAGAGCCACTGAAGGTAGGTAAATAGGGGCCAAGAGAACAGCAATTTGGGCGCAACAGTCCCAAATTATGGACCAGCGGTGGCTGTTGTAAAGCCACATAAGGAAGAAGATGGTGTGATCTGGCTGAGGAGACGATAGATTTGTCTCACAGACAGTGACGAGGTGTGTGTGTGTGTGTGTGTGTGTGTGTGTGTGTGTGTGTGTGTGTGTGTGTGTGTGTGTATACTCACCTAGTTGTACTCACCTAGTTGTGTTTGCGGGGGTTGAGCTCTGGCTCTTTGGTCCCGCCTCTCAACCGTCAATCAACAGGTGTACAGGTTCCTGAGCCTATCGGGCTCTATCATATCTACACTTGAAACTGTGTATGGAGTCAGCCTCCACCACATCACTGCCTAATGCATTCCATTTGTCAACCACTCTGACACTAAAAAAGTTCTTTCTAATATCTCTGTGGCTCATTTGGGCGCTCAGTTTCCACCTGTGTCCTCTTGTGTTAAATACACTGTCTTTATCTACCCTATCAATTCCCTTCAGAATCTTAAATGTGGTGATCATGTCCCCCCTAACTCTTCTGTCTTCCAGCGAAGTGAGGTTTAATTCCCGTAGTCTCTCCTCGTAGCTCATACCTCTCAGCTCGGGTACTAGTCTGGTGGCAAACCTTTGAACCTTTTCCAGTTTAGTCTTATCCTTGACTAGATGTGTGTGTGTGTGTGTGTGTGTGTGTGTGTGTGTGTGTGTGTGTGTGTGTGTGTGTGTGTGTGTGTGTGTGTGTGTGTGTGTGTGTGTGTGTGGGGAGCCAAACAAGAGGTTACAAGATACAAGACAATTCTCTATAAGATAGAAAACTAGTGTGGCGACCGAAGGTGGAGGACGACAGGTGACCACGAGCAACAATAATATAGACATCACTGGAGAAGTAAACCAAACAAAATACCTGTAGGAAGGTGAGGTAAGAAAGCAGTAGAGCCACACCTGATATCATCATGGGTGTTGAGGGAAGCCGCACGGGACCTTTGTCACCCGCTCACTAACATGTCCAGTAAATCACTCCAGGCTGCAACTCTTCCGGAAACCTGGAAAAGGCAAACGTAGTTTTTTTTTTTCCATTATTACTATTTTCTACCACAGACGTGGCCACACATTTACAATGCTAAGCAGCATATATACATTTTCTTCTGTCCTCTATGGCAACCGTAGTCCCAGTTTTCTAAAAAAGAGGCTCGACAGGGGGCACTAAATTATAAACCAGTGTCACTGACACGGATTTCTAGCACAGTAATGAAGAAAATAATCAGGGGTGAGAATAATGGAAAGCATAGACGTGGTTATGGAGGACAAGGTGGGTTGTGATGAAGAAATTCATGCCTAGTAACCATTAATTCTCTTCTCTGAGAATGTCACCAAAATATGACAGGTGAAAGACGGCTGGGTAAACTGCATCTTCCTAGACTGTCAACAAGTGTTTGATACAGTTGCTCACAAGAGAGTGACATACTAGACACCAGTTGGGATAACATGACAGAACACGGTGGACATAACGAGACAGAACACGGTGGACATAACGAGACAGAACACGGTGGACATAACGAGACAGAACACGGTGGACACAACATGACAGAACACGGTGGACATAACGAGACAGAACACGGTGGACAGAACATGACAGAACACGGTGGACAGAACATGACAGAACACGGTGGACATAACATGACAGAACACGGTGGACATAACATGACAGAACACGGTGGACACAACATGACAGAACACGGTGGACATAACGAGACAGAACACGGTGGACACAACATGACAGAACACGGTGGACAGAACATGACAGAACACGGTGGACACAACATGACAGAACACGGTGGACATAACATGACAGAACACGGTGGACATAACATGACAGAACACGGTGGACACAACATGACAGAACACGGTGGACATAACGAGACAGAACACGGTGGACACAACATGACAGAACACGGTGGACAGAACAT